AAAGCCGTTGCGCACATACAGCTGAATGTGTGGGTGTCCGTGTGTGGGTGTATACATGTACAAATGTGTGTGCCTTGGCTGTTAAAGACATACTGGCAAGGAAATTGACAACCGGCATTGGAAAAAAAATATGCATATTAAATCAGTAGGGCCATTCGATTTCAACCAATCAGTGAAATGTAGATAATTATATTGGTGATTTTTTTTTTTTTTTTTTTTCTCAGTTTGGACGGCCTTTGGCACAAGAAAAAAAAAAGGAAAAGAAATGTGTCACTTGAAAGTCCAAGTCCAAATCTGGCCTCGTTCTTTATCTGCTGTTCATCAACAGTTCAAACAGCATGGCTAAAGTGGGCTAATCCAAGCTCAGAGGGATGCGTAAGGTTCAGTAAGCGTGGGTCTTCTCGAACAATGAGCCGAGGTAATTAAGGCTAACACAGACTCGCTCTACCTAGTTCTCTCTTTTTTTTTTTTTTTTTTGCACTGCTTTTAGCTAAATCTGATGGGAAAAGGCTCCATTCTGGACCCAGTAGAAGTCATACGTACCAGTTGTGATGTTGTTGTGATGTTCAAATTTAGGATGTGCACGGAGCGAGGTGTGAAACGAAGGCACTAGCTCCAAAACCCAACAGAGCTAATTAGCAGCTGTGATGGTGCAAGTGAGTCACTGGTTTCTGCAGCAACCGACGTGAAAATATAACACATTGAAAGGTGACAACTCTAATCAACGCAAAACAAGGACGAAATCAGCGTGGAAACAGTGTTAAGGTTAAACACAACAAATATATATATATAAAAAAATCATATTACATTTATATATATATACATATATATAAATAAATGTAATATGAAAATAAATTGGGTATAACTATTTTTCCACCTCTTCCATTTAAACGGTGCTGCGGTTTCAGCGCAGCTACATCACTGCTCCAGGAAAAATGCACATTTTTACTGCATGTAATTGCCTTTCTAGGCTCAATCGGAAATGTGTAATACACACCTGAGACCAGGATGCGTGCCAAGACGCTATGACAAATTACCCTGCTTTAATTACAATATTATCCAAACAGGTGCAAATTGTGTGAGAGCAATTTCGAGGACTCGAACTCTGCACATTGGAGCTGGAGTATCCGATCATGACTGAGCATTTAAAACACTTTAATCAGGTGGAAGTATTTTTATCATAGCCCAGCGATTTGTGTGAAGCTATTTCACTCCAAGAGGTTTTACAATCAGAAAAAAAAAAAAAAATTTTTTTTTTTTGACAGTGAGTTTCCGCTATGGATCATTTGGAGGGGTGGAATTT